ACTCCAGGCCCTACCCGCTCCAGGCCCCTCCACGCTCCAGGCCCCTCCACGCTCCAGGCCCCTCCACGCTCCGGCCCCTTCCACACTCCAGGCCCCTCCCTGCTCCAGGGCACACCCCAGGCCTGTGAGGAGCAGGTGGGCGCTGGACAGGGGAGCTGGGCGTTTTGGTGGTGTTTGCATAAGAGGAAGAAAGGGTCCCTGACTGGGAGGTGATAAGGCCGATGGGACTGGATGCCTGGGGTCAGGGAGAGCCTGTGAGTTGCCAGGACCCAGAGGCAGGGAGACAGTAGGGCCTGTGCAGGGTGGGCCGGGGCGGGAGGGCATGCCTGCCTGCGGGGTGCTCGCCATCCAGGGTGGCAGAGGGGCTGATGCCCGGCCTGTCCCCGCAGGTGCGCACGCGGTCGGTGGGCGAGTGCGTGGAGTATTACTACCTGTGGAAGAAGTCCGAGCGCTACGACGACTTTGCCCAGCAGACGCGGCTGGGCCGGAGGAAGTACGTCCCGGCTGGAACCACGTGCGTGCAGCGCTGTGCCTCAGTAACCAGCGGTGGCCGCCCCGCCTGTGGCCGGGGGTCAGCGGGGCGCCTGGGCGGCACCTTCTGGGCCGGGGGCCTCCACCCTCCTGCTGCCTCCTCGCCTCACGGGCGCTCTCCCCACAGGGACGCAGACCAGGACCTGGACAGCAGTGACCCCGATGGCCCCAGCCGCCCCCGCTCCCAGCAGGAGCTCCTGACGGAGCTGCGCACAGGTGAGGGCCGGGGGTTCTTCCCTGCCCGGGGCTTTCCCCACCCTGAGAGCACCCTGGCCTGAGTGGGCGTCTGGGTGGCCGAGTCGAGTCCTTGTGTGTGACCTGTGCCCTGTGGAGGCAGGGCCTCTGGGCCGCCATCTCTGGGGCGTTCGGTGTGGCTGTGGCGGGCTGGGCGGGTCCCTGTACAGGGTGTAGCCTGCAGGGTGGGCGGGCTTCCCTGGTCCCCTGGAGGGCAGCGGGGCCTGGTCCCAGGTTCCGGGCTGGCTGTCTCCCTGCAGAGCCGCCGAGTGTGGACAGCACAGCCTCCGGTCTTGCTGAGCCTGGAGTGGGCTCCGACAGCCTCCCGCCCTCGGGGCCGGGGCCCTGCCCCTTCCAGCAGCTGGGCCAGCCCTCTGCTCTGCCCCTGCCCCTGCCCCGGAAGCCACCTGCCCTGGCCGACCCAGACGCATACCCACCGGCAGCCACTGCAGAGTCTGGCACCGGCCGGAGGCCGGCCGGGGGGGTTCCGCCCC